CATACCCGGTGCTCTCATAACACCTTAATTAAATAATTTGTATTGAGTAAGGTGGTTCAAAATGCTATGAAATTCATTATGTTCACGTTTTATAATTATTTTTAATTTACACTGATTTTAATGATAATTTTGCACATTAAATACTTAATATTTTTATTATGTACTGTATTAATTAACTATTATTTGACACCTTGATGAGTACTGATGTATCATTGTAATATTAAAACTTTTAAATAAACTAATATCAAGTATAAAATCTTGCTTCCTTAATATCATTTATAAAACTATTGAAATATGGATTATCACAAAATTAATATTTAAATATTTGGGCAAACAAAAAATGTATTATATTTTATTTTATGAAATACGTACAGCTAATCAAGGCCAAAAATCTTAACATTATATGGTAAAATAATTTAAATTATTGATATTAAGTGACAGTTTATTAGATTAATAATTAATGATAAATTATTTTGGATATAATCAGTGGGATACAATTAATTGTATTACTGACAAATTACCAGTTAACATAAGATATAATGTATTAAATTACTGGTACACATTAACATTCACACATTAACATAAACAATTTGTAAACTTAATTTTGTTATGGATTGTAATTATATTAAAAAGGATATAAAGTATTATATAAAGTATTATATTTCAAACGAAATTAATAAATGTAAATACTTTTTACTTTATTTTATGTCCATACATGAACAGTATTCAATAATAAATTTTAGACATGATTTCAATTAAATTAAATATTTTAATTAACATAAACAGTATTCTAAATAATGACTATAATAATAATTATTTTATTAATAATTTTCTTGACATTTACCTTACAACAAGATGATTTTGATTATCTCGATTATTTCCATAAACCACCATCTAAAACTATCTCTAAGGTTTGTATTATTTTAATTTAAAATAATTAGATTTTACAGAAATATTTTTAAAATTCTTAGAGATATACAACTCCTTTTCCAAAATTTACACATAAAACTACTACTTATATTACAACTTATTCCCATGGAATAACCTCCAGCCTACCTAAATCTACTGTACCACGTAAAATGAAAACTAAACCACCAACTACACTATCACCAAGACCAACTAACCGATCACCAAGACCAACCACCCGCTCACCGAGACCAACTAACCGATCACCACCAAGACAAAATACTCATCCACCAGCATACCAGACTAGCAGTCTACCACCAAGCACAGCCATCAATATATCAGCAAACACGGTTACTAAAAAACCAGCAAGTCTCACTACCCGATCACCACCAAGCCCAAGTACCGAAACCAAAGGAAACACAACTACAAGATTACCACCAAGAGCAACCACCAATATGCCAACAAAAACAATTACATATATACCAGAAAACCCAAATACTGGAACAGTAGAAAGTGTCACTATCAATACACTACCATGGACAACCACATATATGTCAGCAAACCAATCAACAAATATCCCAACGAGCACAACTACTAACAAATCAGCAAGTCAAATACCAGCTAATGTTAGCCCACCTATACCTATAAATGCAGTTGTCAAATATTGTAATTATTGTAGCATGTTTGCTAACACTCTTAATTATAATTATTATTATTAGTCATTGTGTGGTCAAAAGTTAAACAAAACACAAATGAAAATTTCTATTATGCGGCAACTGAGCTTACAAGTTTTGAAAATTTAAATATTCCTAACATTTATTTTAATAATTATGATAATACTGCATTTGATTAATTAAATCAACATTATGAACTAATATTTGATTGTGTAAATTTTACGAATTTTAATGAATTTGAGTTTAGAGTTAATGAGAATTTTAAAATATTAACTGTAATAAAGAATATTCTTTAATATTTCTCCAAATTGAATGAATTCATTCCAGCTGTACACCAGTCACTACAACAGATAATTATGAAATTTGTACTGTAATATAATTTATATTGAATTGAATAAATAACTAATGAAAACATTTTCGCTATATTTATGAAGTTTTAATTAATGTACAGTAAGTTTTAAAAACTACAAACAAAATGCTAACAATCATTTTTAGTATTATATATGATTTTGTGTCTATGTGCTTTGTTTGAAATTAATTTATATTTCACATTATCGTCGAAACTATGATATCACGTTTACTGTATTCTATATTTCTACTTTTGTTGAAATTAAAAAACAGAAAATTAATTAGTTGGTCATGATAACTGAAATAGTGAATTATAAAAACATTTTATATTAAAAGAGTAATACTTGAATAATTTACTGACATTTCTTTTATGATATATAATTAATACAGTTAAAAATTTCATAATATTATTTATACTACTATTTTTCTATTCACTTATAATAGAAATATAACACAATGTTTTATATTTTATAAGTTGATTATATATTATCATAAGTACTGATAAAATATACGGTATTTCACAATTAATGCCTTTACTTAAGTATTGAATATAAAAATATAATCTTTTATATGATAATTATTTATTAATTATTATTATTAAAAATAAATTTAATCAAAGCACGTTTCCACGTTATTATATATATAATTAATGACATTATAATTTAAATTAAATTGTTGTTTTATTGTAATTAAAAACTTATTATAATAATTAAATTGAGTAATCAAATGTTGCTTACTTAGTTAATAGCTCACCTATTGCACCATAAATTTTGTAAACCATAGATAAAGTTAATCTGATTAATTTAGTGGGTCGTAATTATAAAAAGATTTAATTAACGTAAAATCATTTGAATATAATTTTAATTTTGTTATTTTTAAATTTTTAAATAAATATTTGCAAACTAGAGAATACAAAAATAATATTCACAATTGTTTTTAAAATTGAACTACTTAAAACTTTAAATATCAGTCATTATCAGTTAGACTTATTTAACTTAATTTTTCAAATCAATAGCACTTGAGATTTTATCAATTAAATACCAACCCCTTAACATAAAACATAGTAGAATAGACAAAAGGCTTTAAATTATCATCGTACCCATATATTTTATTTGTATAAGCTGCTAGTTTAGATTTTGATAAAAATTGCTATTTAATTGAATTCAAGTCTAAATCATATGACCAATTAAGCTGAATTAAACTATTTGATGATTAAAAAATTCGTGTGCATAAAAGGACTTGTCCTGATAAGCACCAAGGTATTTTATTTATTGAATAAAATATATTAAAATGATTAACATTTGAATTTTAACTTCAAAAATAACTCATAAATTTTTGTATCCATAAATTACGTAGATATAATATAATTTTTAAAAATTACACTTTTGCCTTAATTCAACGAAAAATAAACTCCGTTTTTAAAACCTTTTTGAAAAATTCATAAATTACGTCTTGATATATCTCCGTTATTGATAGAAATGAAAATTTTTAGTTGTTATTTTTGTTATCAGAATTCAAAGAGGAATCTAAAATGTTTTCAATCATAAATAACGTATTTGAAAATTTTGAACATGATCATTTTTGTGTCTAATTTTTCATTGTATTGCCCTTTAGTATTACAAGGATTCTCTTCAGGAATATATTTTTAAATTAATAAGCTTGTTATATCACAAAAGAAAGTTTATGATTCTCAAGGGTAATAAGTTGTAATTTTTAAAATAATAGATTTTTTCTAGAAATGTCCATCAAATTAAAATAATTATAATATTTTAAAAATCGTATATTAATAAGTTCTTAAAGCATTATTTAATTGTGATAAAACATTCAATTAAAACCATTGTATAGTAATAAATGAATTTACATTGTTTATGTAAACTTAAATTAATCTACAACCTTACCTATAATATTAAATTAATTATAAAATTTGTCTTTCTGTCAATGGCCTTACATTACTCTGGGAAAACTTGAAAAAAATAAAATACCTTGGTGCTTTATCCTGACAAGCTCTTTATCAGAATTAAGGTAGTGTATATAACGTTGAAACTTTTTATATAATTTGTGTTTATCACTTTCAATTGACAGTGTGCAAGCCTAGTCATCTCAAAATGTTTAAAACACTTACATTCCTCTTGTGTACGACTCTAATATCAGGGACTGATAAGTGCAGACTCCCGGTACCGCTAACTCCGACTGCCAGCTGTGGTTCCCAACAGACAATGTTCAACGAAGGCGAGTGTTTGTGCTGTTATTACGACACGGAAAACATACCGACGATCGGTATTGGCTTCAACTTGGAACGGGGAGATGCCGCGGAAGTCATGACTAAGTACAATTTAACGTTGGAAAACGTATTAAAAGATTGTCAAGATAAAACGACGAACCACTGCCTGACCGACGCGGATGCTAAAGATATTTTCAACGAAACGTATTCAAAATCTGAACAGTGCGTCGACAAATACTCCCCCGGTTTACCGCCAGCAAAACGAGCGGCTATTATTGACGTGGCATTAGCTGGTTGTGCGACACTAAAGCAGTTTGTAAAGATGCAAGATGCATTAAATAAGCAAGATTGGAAAACAGCAGCCGACGAATTGCGAAACTCTAGTTGGTGTGAGCAAGTTGGTAAAAATCGGTGCGATTCAAATTACAATTGTATAGCCGGTGGGAAAGGTTAGTTTGTTACAAAATTCTGTCAATGTGTATTTTACTTTATTCACTATGTTGCAATTAGTTTCAGGATGCACTGGCCAGACGTGTGCCACTGGGTATACACCGGGTTGTTCAAAAAATAACGATTGCAGTTGTTACAAAACATTAAACGGAACAGGGTTTTGTGCCGTCGCTGCTCCTTGCTCTCTGCCTGATTGCACGTCATGTTCGCCATTGACATCAGTGTGTGTTGTCGACAGTTGCTGTGATAAACCAAAATGTTTTCCATTATCATATGGTGCCAAATGTACTGAACCTCCAACCCAGGCTATCCGAAAATCGGACCGTTATTATTGAGGCATTTCTTCAAAAGTTAATTTATTATTTGTTTCGGTAGTCAAGATCATGAGATTAGAATGAGGTTCATTTTAATAATGTTTTTTTAAAAAATATAAATAACTATTTGATGGGAGCATAACTATTTGATGGGAGCATAACTATTTGATGGGAGCATAACTATTGAGGAATTTCTGTTATTAGACTAGCCAGTTAAATTACACATTTGTATAGTAAATTTTAGATTATTAATTTATATTATTAAGAAATACAAATTGATTACCATTAAATTTATTAAATATTGTTTTTTTGTATAACAAATTAGCAAATGTATAATGTGCCAATTTTTTATAGCGTAGTAGAAAATCATGTTGGTCAAATATTGTTTCAACTTTTTCCGTAATAATTGAAAAATTAAAAAAATGTTTGTATTTATAATAAATTAATAAACTATTATGACTTATATTATAATTATTTAAGATGTTTTCATCAAATATATTAAAAATATTTTTTAAAAATTTAATAAATAATTAGGTATATGAAAAAATTATTTGACTGTGTTAATAAATATTTAGTCCACACATCATTAATTAAACAAGTCTCTAATAATTTTCTCGAATTTAATTGATTATGACAGTAAATTTAAAAATTATAGTAACCTTTTGTTATATTAAAAATTTAAATGGAGCAATTTTAAAAACAAATGGCAAGATTATTTTTGAATTAAATTTAATATGACAAACATTTTCAGATTATTCTATATTTGTATCCCATAAAAGCCATTGATGGAACGTTAGACACCAGAGAAAGGGTCCCCGGAATGCAAACATTGAAAATAGTTTATATTTAATTACAGTATAGATCAGATGTGTCCAGGTGGGTAAGAGTGAGCATTTTTACGGTATTTGTAATCATTTTATTAAAAACTAATTGCAAATACCATAACACATGTATGAGTAGGGATGAATAATTGCTTATAATGAAAGGAATTATAAAAATTGACAAATAATATAACATTAATTAGGATTGACTCTAAAATTGTTTACCTGTAAAAAACATCAATAAATAATGTCTGGACACGTCTGGTATAGATATATACTTGTATTATAATAGCGATCGACTCGTATTTTATATTTTAATTAGTTTTTTATAATTTTTATTCTGTTGAATGCAATGCTTTTATAATAAGTTTAGTCAACGCTATGTTACCGAGAGATTAGGAATCTAACCAGGCACATCAAATTAAATTGAAAATTTAAATTAAAAAATTAATATATTGAATGTAATTTTACATATAAATGTCAAAATGTTATTACAAATATTTATTAATTAATTCAATTAAAGATTTATTAGTAAATCTATGTAAGTATTGTCATCGACCAGTTATTAACCTAGTAATAATAAGTTTTAAAAATGAGCCGGATTAATGAGTGGTAACATTAAAATGCAACGGGCATGTGTCGATCTGAAATATGAGGACTAGTGTAATGTTATAATATTGTGTAAATACACATTATAATTAAAATAAAATCTTAAATATTAAAATGACTATGGAGTCTGATTGCCAAATATATAAAATTTAATACAATTATATAATAAATTATAATAATATATAATATTTACAATTTCTATTATAAAGCGTTGAATCAAAATAATCATGTCAAATATTAAATTTAGAAGATCATTGTTTGTTATAAATGTACAGGGATGTTTATGACGCCAACCCCAACATAGTGGACAACAAGGCCTCAACGGCTCTACATTTGGGGCGACTACGAGATCGTCAATATGTTGCTCACGAAGTCGGCTCACGTGCCAAATGTTAACCTCAAGGTATGCCGTATTAGCAAAACATAGTTGACCTGGGTTAAGATAATGTATCCGTGTTTAACTCGCAAAATATGCCAATATTTTTTAAATATAAGAATTGTGAAGTATTTACAATTTGTAAAGGGTAATTTATTTGAAACCAAGGATTTGATATTGAAAATTAAGATATTAACCATTTAAATATTTTGATGAACATTACACCAAAATGTTCCTGTCATAATTAACAAACACATCGTTGAAACAATAATTTTAATTTAATTTATAATTATTTACAGTATAAAGATTTACCTGTATTTTTATAGCGACCTGTATGTATATTTATATATTTTATGTTTTGATTAGTTTTTTGTAATGTTTATTCTGTTGATTATGTTGATTGTTTATTATGCTTTTATAATAACATAAACGGCAAAAAATAAATGCATTTGATTAAAAAATCAATAAATTTTAATTAAATGTTTATTTATTGTATTTATGTAATTTAACGCTTTTGCATTCAATTGATTGTTATATTGTATCATTTACACGGTAAACAATCTATTTTTGTTTTCATATTAAATGTAAGTTGTAATATATAAAGTTTATCTGAACTTAGAGATTAGCCAGATAAAGTGACACATATATTATATTTTTAAAAATATACCAATTAATTAACACTCAATACATAAACACAAATTAATTGACTTTTAATTATTTATGATAGGTGCCATGATATGCTAACTAATATTGATTCAACATAATACAGTATAATAGACATAATGAAATATTAAGTTATATTAACTTAAAAAATTTTAAAAATCAAAAATGTTTGACAGAAAAAGAAATAATTTATTTGATAAGAAGACTGATCTCCGGATAAAATATGCCATCCATTCGTACGCGGATTATGCTAATTGTGGTAATCATAATAGCATTCATAATAATAACACCAAGATCAATTATGGTATCAATAATAGTAATAATAATAATAACTCCAAATACGATATTAAAGTCAAATCTAAGCATTTCATGGAAAAGGTATTTGATTTGAAGATCGAAAACAGGTTTGAATTGTGTCTGCGAGTCGTCGTATGTATGGTATGTTTGGCGGGATTTACATATCAGTCGGCGATACTTATCACGAAATACATGAGCGGCCGTACGGTTGTCAACACAGCCGTCGAACGGCTCAAAGAGACCAAAATCCCTGCCTTTACTGTCTGTTACCCGACATTCCTATCGATGGAGAAGTTCGTCAAAAAGTATCCAAATTTCACCGACGATTACAGAGACTACCAAAACCTTTACCGACAAAATCACTACAATAATATCAACAACCAAACAGCTATTAAAATATTGTTTAAAAGGATTATCATGAAGTATCCAAATTTCTCCCACGCTCACAGAGAGTATCTTTATATTGACCGACAAAATCACTATAATAATAACAACCAAACAGCTATTGATATATTGTATGAAAGGTTTATCATTAAGTATCCAAATTTCACCCACGCTTACAGAGAGTATGAAAATATTAAACGAAAAAGTCACAACAGGCATAATAATATCGACAACCAAACAGCTATTGATATATTGTATGAAAAGTATTTCATGAAGTTTATGCGCCATTTGGATGCGAATCCTCCGACTATTAGCGAGATTTTCGAGGACTTGAGTATTGAGATGAGGGACAGGGATATGACTGTCTTTGTGGTCGACGCCAACACCGAGAAGACTAAATATAAAGACAACGCGTACTACGACTACAACCCGATTGAGTCGATCATCACAACCCCACCCCTACGCAAGTGTTTCACGTATTTCAGTGATCTGCACGAGAAATGGCGAGACTTTACGATCGGAGTCCAGAACTTCTTCGTGAGGATCAGTCAAAGACACGAATGGTTTCCGTTCAGTAAAAAGTATTTGTCTGACTATCGGTTCAGTATTCACGCGCCGAATATGATTCCGGTTCTCAATAAAGAGAATTTCGTGACACTAACCATGTCTTCGAGAATTCATGTGACCTTTTCGGAGATCCGGATCAAACGATTGCCACCTAATTATGTGACCAATTGTCGCGATTATGACTTCAATGACACCAATAATATCCAACTCAGGAGCGACTGTATCACCAAATGTATGCAGAAATGTCTGAGGGATTCGTGCGAAACGGATTTCGTTGAGATTCCGGAGTTTCTGATCCGAAGGGAGTATTATAAGGGACTCAGCATTAAGCCGGATAGGTTGGCCCCTATACTCAGCCAAAACGTTACAGATTGCATACGAGTAGAAAGCAAAACGTGCAAGGTACAATGCGAGGGCAAATGTCCCAACAATTGCATGGATCGGGTTTATGACTTCAATATCGTGGAGTCCAAAGCCCTGGATCCACAGTGGGATACCATTGAGTTCAATGTAGAGCACAGCCGACTTCCCGACCAGGTCTTTGAACACACGCCTGAAGTCTACTTCATATCATTCGTGTCTAATTTGGGTGGACTGTTGGGCATGTGGTTAGGGATGTCTATCATATTAACTTTTGATTATATAATTAGCTTTTTATCCAAATTCATGCATTCATTCATCAGACCTCCAAATAAATCAGTGAATAACACAAGAAATAAAAGTACGAATAAGACTAACACTAATGAACTGACATTAACTCACAGAGGATTGGCTTATGATTACAAAAATAAGTTTGAATTTTATTTGAAGATATTGCTGACAATGGGATGTCTCGTCGTGTTTTGTTTCCACACAAAGCTATTGATTGAACAGTACTTGAACGGACAAACTATTGTCTACACAAAGATTGACAAAATAAACTTGAGTAAAATACCAGCTATTACATTTTGTTTTCCAACCTTATTATCAGTGGAAAAATTTGCTCAAATGTATGCATCAGACCAATCGTTAAACGGATCCATCAACGAATACATGAATATTATCAATGATACAAATATTAATAACGATAGACTAAACCAGTTATTCAAACATTTCAAGAATCAAATGTTTAGAAATTATCCTAAAGTGTATGAACTGTTTGAAAACTATAGTTTCTCAATGGAGAACATGCCGGTGCTGTCAGTGGTGACCATCAATATGGGCTCCAATAGGAGTGAGACCATCATTACAGACACCGAACCCTATGAGACCATTACATCTGTGACTGAAATGCGGAAGTGTTTCACATATTTCAGTGATTTAAACCCCAAATGGCGTGAATTTAAGACTCATATCGACTATATTTCCTTAAAATTTAAACACCAATACAAATGGTTTCCATTTCATAGGGATTTATCTGATTATGAGATAAGCATTCACTCCCCGAATGCCATTCCAGACATCAATCAGAATAACTTCAAACAAATCCGAATGCCATCGAAGGTTACGATCACTTACAGCGAGATTCAGACGAGACTATTGCCGCCTAATTATAACACTAATTGTCGGACCTATGACTTGGATAACCCTGATCACAATAGATTGCGAACAGACTACATAACCCAATGTATAGACCAGTGTCAGAGAAAAAGGTGTAAAGAATTGCGTGAATTCGAGACAATGGATAAAACCCATATATTTGGGGCATTACACCGTAGGGAACATTACGTAAATTTTAAGTATAAACAAGAACATTTCTATGCTAACATGCATCAAACCTATTTTTGTTTATTAAGCAAAAGGTGTGGTGTTTATTGTGATAAACTCTATCAAAACAATTGTGTCGAAAGGTTGTATCAGTTTTCTACTGTACATACATCTCGAGTAAATGGATCCCATTTAGAGGTTATTATAAAACACAACACATTTCCCGATAAGATCTTTGAACACCGGCCGGACATGTCTCTCATAGAACTGGTATCTAATTTCGGTGGTGTTCTGGGCATGTGGTTAGGCATACCTATTG